CCCCAAAACCCCAAAACCCCAAAACCCCATTAGAGACCCCAAGAGTTGAATTATAGCATTATTGAGAGAGGATGGTTAACTTGGAATTACCGATTTAAAAGAGTGATAATTATTCTTACCAAAAGCTTCTGAAATTTGAGCACGAGTTTTACCAAAGGTCTCTTTTAGAGCTATTGTAATGAGAAAGAAGCTGGCAATGCAGAATCCTCCAAATATAAAGAAGAACAAAGCGTTTGATTCATGAAATCTGATGTAAGTACCTGCAAGGTCTGAAATTCTGAATGCAATTGTTGGAAGTAACAGAACTATTCCATTTATAAGCCAATGAGCTAATGTAGCCATCGCCATTCCCTTATCAGTCAGAACTTCTGCTCAGTATACATAAAAGGTAGAGGCAAGAGTGATCCTGAAGTTAACAGCAAAGATGAGTACGAAGATTGTTGACAGAATGTTTGGAATACCACTGAACATGGGGACTCCATAATCTGTATAGCTCACTTGTAAAGAAGCCTGGAACAGCACTGTTAGTCATAATCAGCTGATGAGAAATCCTATCAGAAGAAGTTTTTTTCTTTTACAATATGTTAGTAGGATCATCGAGACTGGAACTAGGAAAATTCCCAGAACGGCTATTAGTAATCTCAAGTTCCAATGTGTTGAATTCGGATTTATTCTGAGAGTGAAAGCAAAGTTGAGAACGATATAAGTACCTGATAACTGAATAATAGACCTTAATATGATACCTGCCATTAATTTTCTCTTCCCTCGTCTCCTACAAAGGACCTTCCAGGTGTCCTTTTCCATTCTGGTTGGAGGAGAAATAGTGGCTTGTTGGATATTAGTGCTAAATTCTTCATCTTGAAAAGATTCCTCACCCCCAAAATCTCCACTGGTATCATAAGAATCGGACTTAGAGATAAGATATTCCTCATATATCGGGTTTTCTTTCTTAAAAATGAACAAGAGGCAAATTAGCTGAATGAAAGCAAATATGATAGGAGGTGCAAACATCTCCCTCCAGATGATATGCTGACCAATAAGCGGGTTACAATAACCAGGTGTCCGTGAGAATGGTTTGATGAAAACAGGCAACTTTAGGTTTAAAAACATGGGAGTAAGTAACCCAATGTTAACCCAAAGAGCTATAAATCACATCAGTATTCCTCTCATCTTTGGAGGAGAAATTTCGCTAACAAACATTGGGGATATTGAGTTAGTAATTCCAAACGCAAGCCCCATTATGCCTCTTCCAAGTAAGTAAGCCGGATAAGCTCTAATCATTTTAATAGATCCCCCAAGGATGGAAATTGATGCTGATAATATCAGGGCTTTTCTCTTGCCATATCTTGCGAATACCCATGCAATGCCGCCTCCAATGCATGCGCTCAGTGGAACTATAAAATCAATATTTAGGAGCAAAATTAGAAAATTGTAACTTTGAAGTAAAATTTAGATTGTGAAAATCCTTGCAGAATAAGGTAATCATAAGTTGTTCATATAATATATGAAATAACCTTTCTTAAATATAAAATTCAGCCGGAGTGTTCACGCCAAAGAGTGCAGTTCAGCAAGGCTGAAACCTTCAGCTGTAAAGGTCTTTAAACTCCAGTTCTAGTCTTTACTACCTTATTTTGTTTTTAAATTGTATGAAATTGGTATCTATACTTACATATAATATTCGCTCCTGTATTGATCCACCTCCTCCTTGTCGGCGGAAATCCAAAAATACAGGGTGTGAAATCCCAGAGCACATTTATAATATTATTAGCATACCCCAACTCAAAATTGCCCATTGTGATCACCAGTGCCCATCAGACCAAGTAACCTCTGCTGTACATTTATTAATATAATCAATTCAATTATTTAGCAAGGGATTGGGGTTTTGGGGTTTTGGGGTTTTGGGGTTTTGGGGTTTTGGGGTTTTGGGG